ATTCCCTCCAACAATGGAGTTCCCATTGTTCCTCATCCTCACCAGCATTTGCTGCTGTCAAGTCTTTTAGATATTGGTCATGTTAATAGATGTATATTGCAGTATCTTATTGTTTTAAGTTGCAATTCCTTAGTGACATCTGATGTTGAACATTTTTTCGTATGTTTATTTGCCTTCTGTAGATCTTCTCTGATGATGAAGTGTTGTTCAGGTCTTTGGCCCATTTTCAAACCAGGTTGTTCATTTTCTTATTGTTAAATTTTAAGAGTTCTTTGTATATTTTGGATAACCGTCCTTTATCAGATGTGTGTTTCCCAAATATTTTCTCCCAGCCTGTGGCTGGTCTTCTCAGTTCTCTTGACATCGCCTTTCATAAAGCAGACATTTTAATGTTAACGAAGTCCAGCTTATCAATTCTTTCTTTCATGGATCGTCACTTTGGTACTGTATTGAAAAACCACCATACCCCAGATCGCCTAGATTTGCCCCTACGTTACCTTCCAGGAGTTTTATGGTTTTACAGTTTACACTCAGGTCGACGATACATTTTAAGTTAGTTTTTTATCAAGGGTGTGAAGTCTGTGTCTAGATTCATTTTTTGCATGTGGATGTCCAGTTGCCCCAGCACCGCTGTTGAGAAGTATCTCTGCCCCATTGTATTGCCTTTGCTCCTTTGTCAGAGATCAGCCGACTAGATTTGGTGGGTTTGTTTCTCAGCTCTCCACTCCGTTGCCCTGAATTATTTGCCAGCACCACACGTCTTGATTACTGTAGCTTTATAGGAAGTCTTGAAGTCGGCCCTCCAACTTTTTCTTCTCTTTTAAGCATGTGTTAACTATTTTGGGTCTTTTGCCTCTCTGTGTAAACTTGAGAATAGTTTGTCGATATCCACAAAACAACTTGCTGGCCTTTTGATTGGGATTGTATTAAATCTATAGATGAAGGGAGGAACTGACATCTGGACAGTATTGAATCTTCTTACCTATAAACATGAAACATCTCTGTTCAATCCTTTGATCCATCATCATCAGGTTTTTATATTTTTCCTCCTATAAATCTTGTGCATGTGTTGTTAGACTTATTTGTATGCAATTCTTTTTTGAGGGTGCTCATGAAAATGGTATTCTTGTGTTTTCAATTTCAAATTGCCCTAGTTCATTGCCAGTACACAGGAAATGAAGTTTTTTGTAGGAACCTTGAATTCTGTAACCTTGCTAGAATGGCTTATGAGTCTAGTTTTTCGTATCCTCTGAGATTTTCTACATAGATGATCACGTCATCTGCCAAAAAAGTTTTACTTCTTTCTTCCCCATCTGTGTACAGGTATTCCCCACTTTTCTAAGCTTCGTATTAGGTCACTCTCCTTTTCAATGGAATGAATGACCTCCATTAGTAGAACTTCTTTGAAGGACCTACATTAATACTTGTTTCTGCTAACTGAAAGAAAGTGGCAGAGGATTTCCACTTTTATGAATAAAGGCAAGAAGTGACAGTAGTGTTCGGCATCTGTTGTGCAGCGAGCCACTGTGGAGGGAGCGAATCTTCCCTCCCTTCCCTGGGAACTACGCTCAGCATCTCGGCACCAAGCCACCATAGCTTTGAACTGGGTCTTTGCACATCTCTGCTTTACCTTTATGCATCTGTTAGCAAGATGTGCCCGAAAGTTCCAGAAAGGCCTAGGAGAAATGGTTTTTCAAGTCTGGGAACACAAAGAAAAACTTCCATATAAATTAACGGTAACTGCTCCTTTGTTTTATACTATTTTGGCTTATGACAAGTTTTTTTTTTTTTTTTTTTAATTTCTAGGAGAGAGAGAGACAGCGTGAGCAGGGGAGGGTCAGAGAGAGAGGGAGTCACAGACTGAAACAGGCTCCAGGCTCTGAGCTGGCAGTCAGCACAGAGCCCGACGCGGGGCTCGAACCCACGAACTGCGAGATCATGACCTAAGCGAAAGTCGGACGCTTAACCGACTAAGCCACCCAGGCGCCCCTGGCTTATAAAAAGTTTTTACAGGAATGCTCTACTTTGAGAGCGGGGAAACCTGTACCTTTATTTCCTTTTCTTGTCTTAATGCATTAGCTGAGACTCCCAGTAAGATGCTGAGATTGAGTGGGGAGGGAAGACATCCTTGCTTTATTCTTGGTCTTAGCAGGAAAGCTTCAAGTATAACGTTAGCTGTAGGGTTTTTGTAGATGTCCTTTATCAAGTTCGGGAAGTTCTCCTCTATTCCTAGTTTACTGAGAGCTTTTCTTGTGAATGTGTGTTAGAATCTATCAAGTGCTTTTTCTGCCTCTATTGATATAATCATGTGCTTTTTCTTCTTGAGCTTGTTGATGTGACGGATTACACGAATTGATTTTCAAATGTTGAAACAGCCTTGCAAACCTGGGGAAATCCCACATGGTCATGATCTACAGTTCTTTTTATATTGTTCAATTCAATATGCTAATATTTTGCTGAGGATTTTTACATCTGTGTCCATGACAAATACTGATCTGTGGGATTCTTCTAACATCTTTGCCTGGATTTGGAATTGAGTTAAATGCTGGTCTTAGAGAATGAGTTAGGAAGTATTTCCCATTTCTATCAACTGGAAGAGATTGTAGAGAATTGGTAAAAAAATTTTTTCCTTAGATATTTGGTAGAATTTTCCAGTAAACCCATCTGGGTCTGCTGGTTTCTGTTTTGCAGGTTATTAATTATTGATTCAATTTCCTTAATAGACAGGCCTATTCAGATTGTTTATTTGCTGCATATTTTTTAGTTTTAAAAAAAGGTTTTTTTTTCTGGGGGAGAAAAACCTTTTATTTTTTATTATTTTATTATTTTTTAGTTAACATATAGTTTGTTATTTTTTTAATTTTACATCCAAGTTAGCATAGAATACAACAAAGATTCCAGTAGATTCCTTAATGCCCCTCACCCATTTAGACCATCCGCCCCTCTCCCAACCCCTCCAGCAACTCTCTGTCTGTTCTCCATATTTAAGTCTCTTATGTTTTATCCCCCTCTCTGTTTACATATTTGCTCCCCTTCCCTTATGTTCCTCTGTTTTGTATCTTAAATTCCTCATGTGAGTGAAATCACATATTTATCTTTCTCTGATTGACTAGTTTCGCTCAGCATAATACCCTCTAGTGCCATCCACATAGCTGCAAATGGCAAGATTTCACTCTTTTTGGTTGCCGAGTAATACACAGTGTGTGTGTGTGTGTGTGTGTGTGTGTGTGTGTGTGTGTGTGTGTAGATATACCACATCTTCTTTATCCTTTCATCTATCAGTGAACATGTGAGCTCTTTCCATACATTGGCTATTGCCGATAGCGCTGCTATAAACATTGGGGTGCATGTGTGCCTTAGAAACAGCACACCTGTATCCCTTGGATAAATACCTAGTAGTGCAATTGCTGGATGGTAGCGTAGTTCTATTTTTAATTTTTAAAAATATTTTTTCATGTTTATTTTTGAGAGAGAGACAGAGTGTGAGTGGGGGAGGGGCAGAAAGAGGGAGACACAGAGTCCAAAGCAGGCTCCAAGCTGTCAGCACAGAGCCTAAGGCAGGGCTCGAACTCACGAAATGTGAGATCATCACCTGGGCCCAAGTTGGGCGCTTAACCGACTGAGCCACCCAGGCTCTCTTATTTTTAATTTTTTGAGGAACCTCCATAGTGTTTTTCAGATTGGCTGCACCAGTTTGCATTCCCATAAAATTTTTTTTAATGTTTATTTTTGAGAGAGAGAGAGAGCACTCATTCAAGTGGGGGAGGAGCAGCCAGAGAGGCAGACACAAGACTCCGAAGCAGGCCCCAGGCTCTGAGCCGTCAGCACAGAGTCTGATGCAAATCTCCAACCCACGAACCATGAGATCATGACCTGAGCCGAACTTGGACGCTTAACCAACTGAGCGCCCCTGCTGCATATATTTTATGCAGTCAAAGGTGGCTGAGTTCATGGAGGTTAATGCAGGACAGGCCCTGACTCTCCTGGAAATAAAGTGCTGGTGCTCAGTGATGGCGCAGCAGGCTACAGACCAGTGAGGGACAGCCTCTGGGATTCTGGGTGTGTGTGTGTCCGTCTGGACAGCCTCTCTGGGATTCTGGGTGTGTGTGTGTGTGTACGTGTGTGTGTGTCCATCCCCTGCCAGGTGTCTGGACACTGGGAGGCTGCCCGCGTCTCCCCTGCTCATCCCTGTGTCTCTGCCCTCCTCAGCTTCCTGGGAAACACAATCCTGCCTGAAAACCCGCAGGAGATTCTGGGCAGGGGGCTGTCCGTGGCAGAACAGGGCCAGCGACACGTGGGTCCCCGAGAACACGACTCCCTGTGCGGCCTCCAAGTCCCGGCGGGCTTCTCCCTTAGTTCTCTGCACCTGCTTCCCCCCTGCCCGCAGCCGTCTACACCAGCTCTCTGCGCGCTTCCCATCGCCCAGGGAGTGCCTGGTTCCCCGTGGGAGCCTCCCCGCCCCTCCCATCCGCCGCCACCTCTGCTTCAGCCTCCGCCTCAGGCCGTGTTCCCCTGCACGTCAGGATCTCCACGGCCCGGGCGCGCCTGCCTGGGGGCCTCCATCACCTGCCTGCTCCGCTCCGTCCTTGGAGCGCCCAGACCTGGGCCCCACGCAGAGCAGGTGCTCGGCCTGCCCGCTCGCCTGGGGCCGCGGCCTGACGGCCTGACACAGCCCAGCCCTGCTGGGTCCGCGCTGCTGGGTCCGCGCTGCTGGGCCCGGGTCTGGTCGGCAGATGCACCTGGGCGGGGGCGCCTTCCCTGAAGCCTCCCTCCCCCTGCAGGCTGCTCGCGGGACCCCCACGTGGCTCCACCCACCCGACCTCCTCCCACCCCCAGCCCTGCCGCCCTAAAGGACGTGCCCCCTCCCCAGGATCAGGCTGCCTGTGGAACTTTCCAGAAAACGGAAGCTGGGGCAGGAGGGCCGGGGCCCTGGGTGGGGGCGCGGGGGGCTGCGCGGGCCCCGCGATGGCCCCCCCCCCCCGGCCGCCCCGCGGACCTACATGCGGACCTGGGTGCTCCTCAGGCTGTTGCTCAGGTCCTCCAGCGCCTCCTCCATCTCCTGCGTGTTCTGGATGAGCGACAGGTTCTGCTCCTCCAGCTCCGTGAACAGGTCCAGCAGCTGCTGCGGCTCCGTGAAGTACAGCTCCAGCTCCTGCAGCCGCAGCCGGGGGGCGGGCTGGGCGGCGCCGGGGCGCAGGTCCCCGCCCCCCGCCCCGAACGCGGCCGCTGACCCCCCCCCCGCCCCCCGCCGGCCCGGAGCGCGGCCGCTGACCTCCCCCGACCCCCCGAATCCCCGGAGCGCGGCCACTGACCCCTCCGACCCCCCAAACCTCCTGGAGCGCGGCCACTGACCTCCCCGACCCCCGAACTCCTGGAGCGCGGCCCCTGACTCCCCCCCACCGACCCCCGACCCCCCGGAGCGCGGCCACTGACCTCGTCGCTGTCTGGGTCCTCAGTCGTGGTGGTAGAGCTTGACCTGCAGAGAGACGCGGGCTCAGGGCGGCAGTCTGCCTTCCAGATGGAAAGGGCCAGCCAGTTCCTTGACGGAGTCAAGGACACACCCCTGAATGTAGTTTTCAAATGCAAACCACTCCAGGGCCCGCATCCCAAGCTCTCACAGCTGGGCCCCCGCCCCCCTGCCCTGATCGCCAGACAAATCAGGACACCCCTGCGCCCCAGAGCCCTGAAATCATTCGAACCAGGCAATCCTAAACCTGCATCTCTGCCTCACTTGTTCTTTCCTGCAGAAACCACAATAAAGGGGGGCGCCTGGGGGGCTCAGTCGGTTAAGCGTCCAACTTTGGCTCAGGTCACGAGCTCATGGTTTGTGGGTTCGAGCCCGGCGTCGGGCTCTGTGCTGACAGCTCAGAGCCTGCAGCTGCTTCGGATCCTGTGTCTCCCTCTCTCTCTGCCCCTCCCCCACTCATGCTCTGAGTTTAATAAAAACAAAACAAAACAAAAAAGAAACCAGGATAAAGGGTCCCCGCTACTCATGGGGACTGTGAGTAAAAACGACCATTTCAATGGCCTCATCTCCTGATCTATTTGTCAAGATGCTCTATTTTATGTTTTATTTTTTATTTTTATTTTTTTTAATTTTTTTAATGTTTTATTTATTTCTAGGATAGAGAGAGATAGCGTGAACAGGGGAGGGTCGGAGAGGGAGGGAGACACAGACTCTGAAACAGGCTCCAGGCTCTGAGCTGGCAGTCAGCACAGAGCCCGACGCGGGGCTCGAACCCACGAACCGCGAGATCATGACCTAAGCGAAAGTCGGACGCTTAACCAACTAAGCCACCCAGGCGAGCCTCTATTTTATGTTTTAAATGTTTGTTTATTTATTTTGAGAGAGGGAGAGACTGAGAGAGCACGGGGGAGGGGCAGAGAAAGAGGGAGAGGGAGAATCCCAAGCAGGTGCTGCGCGGTCAGTGCAGACCCTGACGCAGGACTTGATCCCAGGAACCCTGAGACCATGACCTGAGCCCAGATCAAGTCGGAGGCTCAGGCGACTGAACCGCCCAGGCGACCCAAGGCACCCCGCTAGGGAACAGCCAGGCCAGAGCTCCGAGAATGGAGGGGCCGAACCACAGCCCCATGTGGGCAGGGTCGGGGGCAGGTTGGGGGCAGCCGGAACCCTCTCGCCTGCTGGCTGGAGCACATGACGCGGCAGCCACCGCGGGGCTTTGACAAAAGCCGCTAAAGCTAAGCATCTGCTCACTCGTGAACCAGCAATTCCACTCTGGTTTCCAACAAAAGCAGTGCTCGTGCAGGAGCGCTCTAACATAAAAGTACACGGATGTTTGCGGCGGCTTTAATCAAAATAGCCAAGAATTGGGAGCAACCCCAAAGGCCGCCAATCGGAGAGCCCAGGGAGTGGGGCTTCCGCGGCAGGACAGTGGGCCGCGACAGCCAGCGCAGGGAGCAGGCGTGGCGGTGTCCTCAGGGCTCAGGGGGTCAGAACAGGCGGAGCGTCCCAGGAAAGAGATCGACACAGTGTGAACTTTCTGGCTGGGGTGTGACCGGGGTGGGGGCGGGGGGGGGGGAGCTGAGGGAGTTTCTGTGCCCGGATCTGGGTGTGATTACACGGGTACACGTGTGCGTGAAAATTCAAGGGCTGTTCATTTACAGTTTGTTCATGTTGTGATACTGTGTCAATAACAGCTCAGTACAAGAGGGAGGAAGAGTAAAGGAAGACGGAAGTCCGATCAGGTCGCTGGTTTGCGGAAACCCCCGGCCTCTGCAGGCTCTGGGCCTGAGGCTTCTTCTTCTTTTTTTTTTTTTTTTAAATATTTTTTATTTATTTCTAGGAGAGAGAGAGAGAGTGAGCGAGCAGGGGAGGGTCAGAGAGAGAGGGAGACACAGAATCTGAAACAGGCTCCAGGAGCTGAGCTGTCAGCACAGAGCCCGACGCGGGGCTCGAACCCACGAACCGTGAGATCATGACCTGAGTGAAAGTCGGACGCTCAACCGACTAAGCCACCCAGGCGCCCCTGGGCCTGAGGCTTCTAACTCCACCTGGCTGCCCGTGCCCGTTTCCTTACCAGGACGTGCTGGGGTTTGGGGGGGCTGAAGGAGCATGGGGGCAGGGAGCAGTGGGGGAGGGGCGGGGGAGGGGCCGGGAGGAAGGCGTCCGTTCTGTGGTCACCTAACGCCACGTGTTAGGGCTGGGGCACACCGGCGGGCGTGAGGGGGGCGTCAGGGCGCTGCAGGAAGAAATCTGGGAGGTGTGTAAGAGGTGCCTGCTGGTCCCAGAGGCGGGTGCTGGAGGAGCTGAGTCCCTGGAGACGGACCGTGCTCCCGGGAGGAGGGGGGCCTTGGGCAGGAGCCCCTGGGCTGACTGACAGCCGTGAGACACTGGAATGACTCTGCACGGCCAGGAGAGCCACCCCTGAGCCCCCCGGGACAGTGGACTTTATGTGTCAACCTGGCCAGGTCCAACATTATTCTAGAGACTGACAAATCAGTAGACCCTGAGTAAGGCAGATGACCCCACATAATGGTTGGTGGGCCTCGTCCAATCAGTTGAGGGCCCGAAGAGAAAAAGGCCGACCTCCCACGTGGAAGAGGGAATTCTCCAGCCCCCTGCCTGTAGCCTCCTGCTACGGTAGCAGCAGATCTCTCCTGGGTCTCCGGCCTGCCAGCCCCTGCCCTGGCTCTCCGGCTGTCCCGCTCTGGCCCAAGGGAGGCCCAGATTCCAGGGGGCTGGCCGGGCCCCTGGCATCAAGAAGGCAAGCGCCTGACAGCCGTCTGAGGCTTGGGCCGGGGCCCCTCTCCATGTTCGCCCCAACGGTGCCTAGAGGCCAGGGGCGCATCCCTGGCTGGACAGCTAACAGCCAGCCAGCCAGAGACGCAGGCTCAGCTCTCCAGGGAGAGGAAGGAAGGGCACGAGACCATCAGCTTTGCTTGTGTTCGGGAGAAAACGCCAGGACCCTTTTGAGCCACACCCAACAGCAACCTCACAGGCTCAGGGCACTGTTAACATAAAAACGGCTGGAAGGGTGTGCAGCAGACGAGGTGCCGCTGTGGAGCCGCGTGTGGCTTCCAGGCCCCACAGTCTGGGGGGGGGGTGCAGGAAGGGGGCGCACTGGGGATGGGGCGGGGGGTGGGTAAGACTTGTCAGCTTCTACCTTTCTATACAGTTGTGATGTTGTGAATGTGTGACTTAGGAAACCCCTAAAACTAAAAGAACTTTGAGCGAGGGAGGAAGAGTCACTGGGGGTGACCCAGCAGCAGGGGGCGTGAGGGGGTAAGGCTGTGGCTTTGCAGGCAGAGGGGGTTTTTTAACGGGGTGGAGATGGGTTTGCATTGGTTCACGGGTTTGGGGTTTCTTTTTTTTTTTTTTTTAATATTTTTATTTATTTCTAGGAGAGAGAGAGAGAGCGTGAGCAGGGGAGGGTCAGAGAGAGAGGGAGTCACAGACTCCGAAACAGGCTCCAGGCTCTGAGCTGGCAGTCAGCACAGAGCCCGACGCGGGGCTTGAACCCACGAACCGCGAGATCAGGACCTAAGCGAAAGTCGGACGCTTAACGGACTAAGCCACCCAGGCGCCCCACGGGTTTGGGGTTTCTGTTCATCCCCCCTATCTTTCTAAAAAGATGTGGGAGTGGGCACCTTAACTTAACTCAGGTTAAGCCGGTTAAGCGACCGACTTTGGCTCAGGTCATGATCTGATGGTTGGTGGGTTCGATCCCCCCCGTCGGGTTCTGTGCTGAGAGCTCAGAGCCTGGAGCTTCTTCGGATTCTGCGTCTCCCTCTCTCTCTGCCCCTCCCCAACTTGCACTCTGTCTCTCTTTCTCAAAAGAATGAATAAACGTTAAGAAAAAATTAAAATTAAAAAGATGCGAAAGTCACCGTCACACATAGATCTACCATGTTCTAATTTCACATAAAAACCCAGACCCTGGCTTCCCTCAAAAGGCTCTGGCGCTCGCCGCACCCACTTGCCTGCCTGCCTTCGTTTATACTTGACCTTCCCGTTTCGGCACCCACGCGGACCACCCCACACAGAAGTTTACCGAATCGGACAGAAATAAAGCAGTTTAGAAAACATCGCGATCTTTGGGCTTAAGTCCGACTCCACATGCTTCAAGCTGGGATGAGCCCTGTCGTCACGGTCTCGCCCTCCCTGGCGAGGGTGGGCGCATCCTCGGCACCCCTGGCCGGGAGCCACCACCCCAGCCCCACTCACCCTTTGGACCCCAGATCGCTGTACACGCTGGGATGGCTTCTTTGCCAGAGGCTCACGGTGCTGGACAGGACCTGTCCCAGGCGGGCCACCTGCCGGAATTTCCAAAACTTCTTTGGACCCGGCCCTTCCGGAGGAAACAGAGAGAGGGTTTCCACGTGCCCCGCCTGAGGCCGGGCCCCTCCAGCTTGGGGCGGCCGCGTGCCTCTGAAGCCTGCCTGGCCCTGGGTCCCTGGTCCTTCGGGAAGCAAGGGAGGTTTCGGGATGGCTTCCCCCGGAGGAGGCCTTCAGCAGCGCAGCTTCAGGACACGGGGACCCCCGGGCCCCCCCCACCCCCGGCTGGGGCTTTACAGGCGCGGAAGGGGCCCAGGGATCTACCTTCTCCTCTCCGTTACCTCTGTCGTCTGCGGGGGGCTGGGTGGCCTCCCGCGCCTTTTGGAGAGCCAGACGCTGCTTCTCCTTCTCTTCCAGCCACTCCTTGGGCGACAGCTTGTACAGGAAGTCCCTGTAGACCTTGTAATGCTGCAAGGTGTCTTCAAATTTGGAGATCTCGCTGGATCAGGGAGGGGGTGGGGAGGTCAGATTCCGCCTGTGGGGAGGCCCCTCCGGAGGGCGCTGCCCGTGCAGCCTGGGGACAGGGGTGCCCGGGGAGGGCACCGGCCTGCCGGGGGACCGACGTGGTACAGCCCTCCGTGACTTTGGAGGTGCAGCCGCCGCTGGGGACCCAGGCCTTGGGACAGTCACATTGGCTGGGGGAGCATGACGGACGCGCTCACAGGCCGGTCTCAGCGGCTTGCCCTCTGCGCTCACCTCTTGATGTTCATGATCTGGGTGGTCAGGTCTCGGATCTCCAAGATCTTCTCTACCTTCGCTTTGGTCTCCTTCTCGGCCCTGGAGGTGGGGGCGGGGGCGGGGAGCCACTCGCAAGCTGTTCCAGGGGGCGTGTGCCGCGGGTCGCGGGAGGGGATCGGGGGAGGGGAGGGGGCCCCCCCACGGGCTCACGCTTTCAGGGCCTGCACCGAGCTCTGGTCGTTTTCCCGGAGAAACTCCTCGAACAGGGAGGCGTCATTCTCCAGGGACCTCTCGGCCCGCGCCAGCTTCGCCTCCTCCTTGCTCACCAGCAGCTCCAGCCTCTGCATCTCCTTCTGCTTCATGTCCAGGGCGTACTGCGGGCCACCAGAGTGGGGGTCACGCCCCTCGCTGGACAGCCCCCCACCCCCCGCCCTGCCCCCCCGCGCAGCGCAGCTGGGCCGACCTGGAGGCGGAACATCTGTCGCTTCTGGTTGATGTAATGGTCCAGGCTGTCCGATTCCGTCTTCTTTTCTGCCGAGAGAGGCGGGGGCGCGGCGGGCATGTGAGGGAGACCGGGCGGCGCGGCTGCCTCTCCGGGCACTGGCTCTGCTGTGGAAGCCGGGCTATTACAGGGACTCCCGGAGACTGGGCTCTTAGCAAAAGGAGAGGAGGCTCCGTGGACGCGTCACACTCTCCCCTGCTGGAGATCGGGCCAGGTGGGAAGCCCTTCCCTGTGTCTGACCCGAGCCTCTCCTGCTGGGATGCTCTTCTCCCGAGTGAGCCTCTGGACAGCCCTGCCCGGGAAGGTGCACCCAGCTGCACCCAATAGTGAAAGAGCTCTGGGGCCGGGCCCTGCAAAGGGGATGGTGAGGGACACGGGGCTGTGGGTGCTCTAAGCCCCCAGGGACCAATGTAGATAGCAGCTATGATGGGGGAGCAGACGGCAGGCTGACCCCCCCCCCCCCCGGCCATGGGGTCTGCGTGACATTCCTCGGGCGCTCCGGGACGCCGAGACCAAAGGAAAGGGGTAAACAGATGGTTAAGTGATAGAGATCACAGCCCCGAAGGACAGGAGTCCCCTTCCCCCTCCACGGTGACGGTGACGGGAACACAGGCAGAAGGAAACGGCAGAACTAAATTCCTTACACCCTGTGAGTCTTCCTCAGCATATGAAAATCTTACTGGAAACTTCTCCAGGACTTCACCTCCCCCAGTCTCTCCTCAAGGTCCCCGTGCTTCAGTAAGATCACCTTTGTGCACCAAGGCGTCTTCAAGAATTCTTTCTTGGCCGTCGGCTCCGGACCCCACCAACCCCACTATCACCCCAAGAACCCTCATCAGCTAGGTCTACACCACAGGCTTTAAGCCAGGTGGGAGGAAGTTAAGGCGGGCATCTAGAAGGCCTTCTGAAGCGCAAGCACCGAGGCGGTGCAGTTGGGGCAAAGGGTCATGGGATCCTCCTTCCCTGGTCTTTCCGGACAGGGAAGCCCAGATACTCCGGGCGGGGGCGGCGAGGTCACTCAGTGGTGGAGCGGCCATCTGAACCCAGGGAACCCGGTTCCACACCGACGCTCTTCACCTCCCAGTTAAGGGGCTGCATTTTATAGGTGCGCCATCTGCACTCACGCACGGTAGCATTCCGAATGCGCAATACGGCGATTCTGAGCCTGTTAGGTTTGCGGTCCGCCTCGAATGGCGTGATGGTGGGAGGCAGGGGCCCGTCACAGAAACGACCCCCCTTCCCCGCTGCACCGGAGCCCAGCGTCTCCTAGCGCTGGAAAAGCTCTGCCCGCGCACCGAGGTCAAGACCCGACGCCCGGGAAGGGGGCACCTTTGGTCATGGCGAGCTTCCAGGCCGCGCTGTCGTGGAAGGCGCGCAGCCGCTCGGCCTCGGCGCGCACCTCCTGGTGCTGCGTCTCGTCCTCCAGCTGCAGCTCGCGGAGCAGGCTCACGCGCTTGGCCGACACCTTGGACGAGTAGGTCATCTTCTGGTGCACCTGCAGGGTCTTCTTCTGCTCCCGCTCCTGGGGGGCGGGGTCAGGCGGAGTCCGGCGGGGCCGGCAACCGTGCCCCCCCCCCCCCCCGCCACCGCGCCTGGGTGGTCCCGGGGTCGCCCAGCCTTGAGGGGACGCGCACGCGGCGCGGGGGTGAAGGGGACCTACTCGGGGGCGGAGAGGCGCACTGGGTGCAGGTCGGGGTGCACTTGGCGGGGGTGCGCACTTGCGCGCGCAGAGGGCTGTGGAGCCGTGCGCCCGGGCGCGCGGAGAGGGCTGTGGAGCCGTGCGCCCGGGCGCGCGGAGAGGGCTGTGGAGCCGTGCGCCCGGGCGCGCGGAGAGGGCTGTGGAGCCGTGCGCCTGGGGACGCCCGGGCTCCGCGCACAGCTCCGGGTTGACAGGGCTGGAAGCGGGGTGAGGGGGGTTTGCCCCACGAAGCACAGGCCGCCCAGTCGGATGTGCGTTCCCGATCAGTAGCGCAGGGACATACTCACTCTACGAGGACTCTTCCTGAAATTCACACTAATTCTCACATTCTCGTTTTGTGATTTGCTAAATCTGACACACGGAAGGGAAGGTTCGGGGAAGCTAGATCTTGTGAGTTTCCAAAAGAAACCCGAAATCCCGACTTTGGTCGACAAGCTCGGTAGTCCGTGCCGGCGGCGGGCGGGCCGCTGGGGATCTGCTCCTCTGCGCCCCGCCTGGCCTCCAAGCTGCCTCAGGGGTGCTCCCGTCCCCAGCCCAGAGCTTGGGAGGACCCCAGGGTGGCCTGGGGGGGGGGGGACTCTTCTTCCCTGAGGCCTAGTCGGGTCTTAGGGCTCAGGGGAGCCCGCCCTTCCTGCTTCCAAAGTCCAGGGGGTCTCCACCTCCTCCCGTAGCCCGGCACCCTGGCCTGCAGGCTCAGACAGGCCTGCCCCAATCCTCTTCACCCGGCCTTTCCGGGGCCTCCTGCTTAGGACACCGCCCCTGGGGCCGTCCCCCCCAGGCCACTAGATCTCACGTCTGTGTAGAATAACAAAGCGGAGGAAATACCACCTAGACTCCCAGGGGCAGAGGGTCGGTGCTTAGAAGAAGCCGGGCAGCTGCTTGGGGTCAGTGTGAGATTGGGGAGCTCTGCAGGGGTGCGGGGAGGGCTGCGCTGGGGTGGGGCTGGGGTGGGGTCGGGTGTTTAGGAAGAAGGCAGAAGCGAGAAGATAAGCCTGCCCTGGAGAAAGGTCTCTAAGGCGACGTCAGAGAGAGTTGTGTGCGTTTCTGCTGTGTTTGTCCACTTGGAGGCCTCACCAAAGTGTGTGCTGCTCGGTGTGGCTTTGTGGGAGTGACTCCTCCCCGGGGCGTGGGTGGGTGACAGCTTGACAGCGGGGTGGGGGATACACTGACAGCGTCACCAGAGCTTCTAGGCGGGGAGGTCTGGGGGGAGGGGCTGGAAGACGTGCATTTCCTTTTGTGTCCGGCCGTCCACCCGTCTCGGCCAGAGCCACCTCTCCGCGGAATCTCACAGCCTGAGCCTGGACAGTGAGCCCAGGAGGAGCCGGGCGCGCTGGCCGTACCCATGTCCCCGAGAGTGTGTCGCAGAAACCCGGCGGCTGCTGAGCGCTTAGTGCGATGCCCACTGGTGAGTCCTCCCCGAGCCTGGCCGTGGTTGCCTGCTTGCTGCAGCCGGGCCGCAGGGGTGGGGATGGGGCGAAGGGACTCTCGATGGGGAGGCGAGACAGACTCTGGGGGTGCAGACCAGGCACGGCCGGGGTGGGGCTGGCTCAGGGACCCCCAGGTGCTGCCGAGGGGCACGCGTGTCTGTGTGCGCGCGCATATGTGCATGTTGGTGTGTGGATTTGGCCTCCAAGAATTCCTATGAGAGGGATGGTGCAAGGCTGGAGCAGTTGGAGGGGTGGGCGCCTGGGGTCTGAGATGGGCCTTGAAGGACAGGGCGAGTCTCAGGAGGGTGACAGCTCGTGTAAGGGGCAGCAGAAAGGCCTGGTGGCTGAAGCGAGGCCACGGCAGCCTCACACAGCCCACTCTGACGAGGCCCAGGGAGAGTGTCCAGGAAGCTGGGTAAGACAGCGGGACAGGTCAGTGGCCGGAGAGCTTGTCAGGGTTTTGAACTGAGTTTTTAAAAAGAGTGGGGGGTGCCTGAGTGGCTCAGTTAAGCGTCCGACTTCAGCTCAGGGCATGAACTCACAGCTTGTGGGTTCGAGCCCTGCGTGGGGCTCTTGTGTGGACAGCTCAGAGCCTGGAGCTGCTTCGGATTCTGTCTCTGTCTCTCTGCCCCTCCCCTGCTCATGCTCTGTCTCTCTCTCTTCTCTCTCTCTCAAATATAAATAAACATTAAAAAAATACTGAACCATTGACTGCTCTAGAGGGAGAGAGTGACCTGAAGAAAGTGCTGTGGTGAGAAGGGCGATCCAGGTGTGCGTGCGTGAGGGAGGGAAGATTGCAGGCGGCCTCGGTCCCCGTACTCACGAAGCGAGACTTATTCCGCTCCTGATCTCTGAGCAGGAAGAAATCCACGTCTCCAGACATGTGGAAAGGATTCGCCTCATGGTCAGGAGCAATCTTGGGCCCTGGGGTCGGGGGGGGGGAGATACCTCATTGGAGACACGAACCAGCTCTTCCCCAACAGGTGGTCTGTGTTGCTGGAGTCTGGCGCACCCCCCTCCCCTCCAACCCGCCATGGGGAGCTTCCTTGAAAGCACGAGCAAGTGTCGAATGTTCTCTTGGAATCTAACCCTGGACCTTCCGCCTCCATAGACTCACCCGGCTGGCTCACCCTAGCTGGGCTTGGGCTTCTGTCCCCGGCATCTGAAAGATTCCTGCTGATCACAGGCGCCCCCCCCACCGCCCCGGTCTCAGACATCTGGCCCGCTGTCCCCTCTGATTTAAAGTCTGGGGAACCCCCATTCTGTAGGGGAGAGAAGAGGGGGAAGCGATGGGGCCCGCTGCGGGGGGCGCCTGCCTGCGGGGGGCAGGGGGCAGAGCGCTGCAGGGCACATCCCTTGCCCGCAGGGTCCTCCACAAGCCTCCCAGGGGGAGGCTGGGTTGGGGGGCAGGGAGGGGAAAGCTCCTGTGGTCTGGGGAGGCGGGGCAGGAGTTTGAGAGATGGGAGCCTCGGGGACCCCCCAATTTTGCTGCTTCTCCCGCCCCTGTGGGTAAGTAAGGGCGAGGCTCCCACTGCTCAGCTCAGCAGGGGTCAGGGACGACAGAACCCAGAAGCCACCGAACTAAGGGTTGCTGTCTCCCCCACCCTCCCTTTGGAGGAAATAGAGTTCGTTGTAAAACAAAACAAACCCTTCTTGGAAGCAAAAGAATATGATAACAAAATACTTCCTCCACTTCGAAACCATCGCTGGTAACATTTCTGGGGGTATTTCCTTCTAGGACTCGCCAACACCTATTTTTAATTATTTCATATCTTCTTTAAAAAAAAACAACACTTGACGGGGGGCGCCTGGGTGGCTCAGTCGGTTGAGTGTCCGACTTCGGCTCAGGTCATGATCTCACGGTTCGTGGGTTGGAGCCCCGCGTCGGGCTCTGTGCTGCCAGCTCAGAGCCTGGAGCCTGCTTCAGATTCTGTATCTCCCTCTGACCCTCCCCTGCTCACCCTGTCTCTCTCTCTCAGAAAAAAAAAAAATTAAACAAACAAACACTTGACCGAGGTGCCTGGGTGGCTCAGTCGGTTGAGTGTCCGACTTCGGCTCAGGTCATGATCTCACGGTTTGTGGGTTCGAGCCCCGTGTCGGGCTCTGTGCTGACAGCTCACAGCCTGGAGCCTGTTTCAGATTCTGTGTCTCCCTCTCTCTCTGCCCCTCCCCCATTCACACTGTCTGTCTCTCATTCAAAAATCAATAAACATGTAAAAAAATTAATAAAGTAAAAAAATAAAATCTTAAAAAAATAAAAACACTTTACCTTCAGCAGCTGCCTGGGAAATTACTAATTCTTTGGGGGCTCTGGAAGCAAATGTAAAAGGCTGCGGTGCCAGTGATGCCTGACATCAGCAGGGCCCGGTGCTGGGACGTGTGCAGCAGCCTTTGGGGCCGCCCTGCACACCCCAAGGCGCACACCCGTGTGCCCTACAGACTGGTTCTCTGCAACCGAGTTCCCGAAGGCAGAACAGAGGCCAGGGCCTGAGAGCATTTCCAGACTTCGAGGGCTGATGCTGGCCTGCCTTTCTGGAGGTCTGTCGCATTTCACACCCTCAGCAGCAGAAAGGGGACACTGGGTAGGGGATTTGACTTTCTGCTCTAAGAGTCTCAAAATAGCTCCGCACAAGATTCGTGCTTCTCCATCACCAGGAGGAGAGAGGCTGGCGGACTCCACGCTGCTCAGGCCAGCAGGGGGAACCAGAGCTGAAGCGGGGGGAGGGGACCCCAGCCTGTCACCCTGGCGGTCCCGCCAGGACACTTCACCCGCACCTGTCATGTGGCGATGGCGGGGAAAGCCCCAAGCCCACAACAGCTTCTACTGTTCTTTCAACTTCTCTCTAAGAATTAAACCCGGTCAAAGTCATTTAAGAACATTGAGTGAGAAGAATAAAGAAAGATTATCCACTCCTGGGCCCAGCCGAGAAGAGGAAGCCAGCAGGGGCCTGCAGTCAGTCCTCAGCAATCCGGAGTTAAGTGGGGAGGTGCGGGAGGAGGGGGTGCAGGAAGGGATGGCTCTGGGCGCCTGCCCAGCAGCCCCGGGCAGAGGCATCGCCCTAAATCCAGACGAGTGAGGACAGAGTCTGGGTCTTTATGTCCCCAGACTGGCCAGTAGCACGCCTGGGCTGCATGTGTGTGTCCCCATCGGAAAGATTAATTACAATAGTTAGTTAGCACTGAGCAGCTAACCATGGGCCAGACCCAGGCCGATCCCTGACTTAATTTTCATTACAATCCTATGAGCTGGGGATTTCTGTTACTCCTCAGGAAACTGAGGCACAGAGAGGCGAGCAGCTCACCCAAGGCCACAGAGCTAGAGGTAGCCAAGTGGGGGCTGGCTTCCGAAAACAGAAATTGCATGTGCAGCCAGGTGAGTAGGGAATGTTTCTGAACGGTTAATGGTTAATGTATGAATGAGCCCATGACCAAGGAAGGCAGTCAGTCGGGGCAAATCATTCCAGAAATGCAGTAGGTTTGACACGTAGAAGCCAGTCGATGTAATACACCCCACTAACAGAATGGGGGAGAAAATTATAGGATCTTTTCAAGAAATGCAGGAAAAGTACTTGATACAATTTGAAACTGATTCTCAATGAGAGTCTTAGCAACGTAGGAATAGAAGGGGACCTTCCCAGTCTGATAAGAGCAAGTGTGGTGAGCTGGTACCGGCCCCCCGAAGATGCCCAGGCCCTAACCCCGAGACCTGTGCCGGGGTTCCCTTATATGGTAAAGGGGACTTTGCGGATGGGATGAAGTTAGGGACCTCGAGATGGGAGGCGGTCCTGGATTAGCAGGTGGGTCTGACGTAATCACAAGGGTCCTTCTAAGAAGAGGCAGGAAGGCCAGCAGCTGGAGGAGGAGGTGCGACAATGGAAGCAGAGGCTGGAGTGACGTCACGGAGGCGGAGAGTGCTGTGCTGGAGGCTCTAGAAGTTGAGGAAGGAGCCAGGAGCCAGGGACCAGGGCGGCTCTGAGCTGGAAAAGGCGAGAAAGCGGATTCTCCCCGGAGCTTCTGGAAGGAACGCAGCCCCGTGGACACTTTGATTCTAGTTTTCTGAGATTCATTTCGGACTTCTGACCTCCAGAATTGTGAGATAGTGTATCTGTGTTGCTTTAAGTCACTGAGTTTGCGGTAATGTGCTATAGCAGCAACAGGAAACTAATACAGGAACCCACGAGAAACCTCTAGGTAGAATATTGCACGTTCTCCCCCAAGATCAGGAACAGGCATGGATGCCTGTCTTTGCACTTCTACTCAATGTTGTAGTTAAGCAAGAAAAAGAAATACAGAGTATAGGATTGGAAAGGAAGGGCAGATAATGTCATCCGAAGGTGATGTGATTGTAGAGAAGAAAATCCCAAGAATCTACAAACAAAAGGGTTACAATTAGATTAGAGATGATGCAAAGTCTGATTGTAACGTGAAAACAAAACTTGTATAAAATACAATATCTTCATGACCTTGGGGCCAGCAGAGAGCTTTAGAACAGTTCATAGAAAGTACCCGCGATAAGACAGTGATGGGTAAGGTGAACTCCATTAAAACTGGGGAACTTTTGTTCATCAAAAACGCACCACTAAGAAAGGAGAAAGCGACCTGCCAAGTGAGGGAAGGCATTTGCATACTTAGAACTGATGAATGATTTGTTTCCAGAATATGTAAAGAGTTCCTAGAAGCCATTAAAATAGAAAGACAACCTGGTAGAAAAGTGAGCAGAGGCAGGAACAGGCCCTTAACAACACAGGGTCTCAGCAGAGAACATACGAGAAGGCGATCACTTAACGGATCGCAGGGAATATGTGACAAAAATGGTACATATCCAAAGGGCCAGGAAAGAGAAAAGCATTGGCAATGTGTCGGGCGGTGGGGAGGCTGTGGGGCAGCGGGAAGGCTCACACCCATCAGTGGTGGGAGTGTGAACTGGGAAGCTGCTGGGCAGTGTCTGCTAGGGTCCAACATTCCACCAGCGATTCCCCTTCTCCGCCAACACCCCGGGGAAGTGAGTGCTCCTGTCCCCTAAACGGCATGCACAGCAATGTTCGTTGCGGTATTACCTGTAATATCAAAAAAGCAGAAGCACCCCGAATGTTTCATCCAGCCCGGAAAGCATGGTACACAGGCGGCATAGGTACACAACAGAACACACACAGCGACAACCAGGGCGGGGCTCTTGTGACCGGCATTTCACGGGTGTGATGTCAAGTGCAAGAAACAGGCCAGGATCGAAGGAGCACAGAGCGTGACCCGCTTGTATGAGGTTCGGGGACGGATGAAATAATTCTGTGGGGAGAGCAGAGCAGTGCTGTCTCTGGGGGAGAGGGAGTTTCTGGGAAGGCGGAAATGTTCTAGATGGTGAATGAGGTGGAGGCTACGAAGTTGTATACGTTTATCGGAACTTATCAAACTGTATACCTCACATTTGTGCATTTCACCTGAACATACCTCAGTGAAGAAGCCAAACGATTCAAACCAAACCCAGATGCCTCCCTCTTCATGTGGTGATCAGTTCAGGCCCAGGGATCTGTGGTTAGAAGAAGCTGTCGGGTGACTGGTTGATGGGAAGGTGACAGAGGGCCAGACAGTCACCAGACGGTCACCAGATGGTCACCACTGGACCCCACCGAACGTGGCACCGCCATGGGCCGGGGGCAGCCAGACGCAGAGGCTTCTTGTGAGAGGTGGAAGGAAGGATTCTTGTGGACAAAATGGAACATCCTATCAAGCATGTAGGGTTCAAGTGTCCCATTAAAGGAAACATGAGGAACAGAGAAACAGTTTCTGTAACAATGATCAGGTAGCAAACAGACACATACGTTCTACAGGGTAATTAACACATCTCTCAATATGTCAAGACGTAGAAAATGAAAGGGGGAGGGGCTCTGCTAGATTTTAAAGAGAGGGAAGATGATCAGCTCTCATTTGAATCCTAATTAGAACGAATCTTCTATAGGAAGACATATCTGAGATAATCGGGTAACTTCATTGTGGCTTCACAGGGAAAAATCCCTATTTTTGAAAAATGTCCGTTGTGGGATGTGCCGATGCAATGACCTGCTTGGATGTGACTTTAAAGTATTCTGGCCAAAAGGGAGGGAGGCAAACCATGAGAGACTCTTGAATGCTGAGAACAAACTGAGGACCTATGGGTGTGGGGGGGAGGGGGAGATGGACATGGAGGAGGGCACTTGTGGGGATGAGCACTGGGCGTTCTATGGAAACCAACTTGACAATAAACTATTTGTAAAAATAAAATAAAATAAAATAAAGTATTCTGGCCAAGTATGGAAGCAACCCTGCAGTCCGTCGATAGACGAATGGATAAAGAAGATGTGATACACACACACACACACACACACACACACACACACACACAGAGGGATATTACTCAGCCATACAAATGAATGAAATCTTGCCATTTGCAACAATGTGGATGGAGCTAGGGAATATTATGTCAAGCAACATGAGTCACTCAAGGAGAGACAAATACACTATGATTTCACTTGTGGAATTTACAACACGAAACAAATGAACAAAGGGGGGAAAAAGAGACAAGCCAAGAAACAGACACTTCACCGTAGAGAACAGACTGATGGTTACCAGAGGGGAGGGGAGTGGGGTGATGGGTGAAACAGGTGTTGGGGAACAAAGCATACAGCTATCATGATAAGTACTGAGCAATGTTCAAGCACTCTACTGTACGCCCGAAACTATTTTAACACTGCATGTTAACTATATTGGAATTAAAATTCTTTAAATGAAAATTAAAAAAATACTCTGGCAAAGACAAAAAAAGAAAAAGAATAAGAGAAGGGTAGATGAAATGGATGTGGCTAAATCTTCTGTACTGGTGATGGGCACCTGAGTTCATTTGACCTTATCTCGACAGGCTTGGATTTTCATAATTAAAAGAAAGAGGAAACGGGGGGGGGGGGGCGCAGGGGGCTGAGAGGCGGGAGCTCAGCCTGCGAGAGAGAGGCTCAGGGAGCGTGCTCACATCTGCCCTCCTCCATGGAAGGGTCAGACTGGCCTGCAAGCCTGCGGGGCAGCACAGGAGGCGAAGAGGGTGGAACGGCACTGCAGAGGCGCAGAGGAAGCAGTACAAGCAGCGAGCTGCCTACCTTTCTTCCTCCTTTCTTTTTTTTTAAATTTGTTTTAACGTTTATTTATCATTGAGAGACAGAGAGACAGAACGTGAGAAGGGGGGCGGGCAGAGAGAGAGAGGGAGACACAGAATCTGAAACAGACTCTGGGCTCTGAGCTGTCAGCACGGAGCCTGATGTGGGGCTCGAACTCACGAACCGTGAGATCATGACCTGAGCCAAAGTCAGACGGTCGACCAACTGAGCCCCCAGGCACCCCCTTTCTTCCTCTTAACAAGTGGCAACCGCATGCCTACTTGAAAACTCACACAGCTTAGCCTCCCTCATAGACACTGACAGCCACAGGACAAATTTTTAGACAGTGGAACGTGGGCAGAAATTGCTGGGTGGGGTCTCTGGGAAGGGTCTTTTTCCAAGGAGGGCTGGGTAGGCTGGTAGGCAGTTTTGCTTCTCCCTTTACCCTTTTCCTCCATGTCTGAAATCAGACGCGATGGCTGAGGCTGCAGCAGCCATTTTGTGGCCACATGAAAACTTCACAGTTGAAACCCTAAGGCTAAAATTGGCTTGAAGGCGGAAAGACTTGGTCACCTGGGCAGTTTCTGAGACCTGCTGTTTGTGGGGCCCCCGGGAGATCTGGACTGCCTCCTACATTTCTCATTACGGGAGGAAAAATAAACCCTGCTTTGTTTACATTACTGTTATTTCAGGTCTCGGAGACCCAGTTCCTCATGGAAGTGGAGACATTTCCCTGTGGCACTGGCGCGGGAGACGGGCCTACGGATGGAGGTGACTGACCCTTGCCCACTCAGACTTCAGCTCCCCGCTTGAGGGCCACCTTTACCTGTTTTCCCACGTTTCTGCTTCTTTTCTTCAATGATTGAAGTCAAACTACTGTCCGTGGACCCCACGATGTTCTCTGGGGAGAGACAAAATGAAGGCCACAGCAAATGACTCATTGGCTCTTGAAGCTGCGAACACAGAGTGAGGCTGGGGAGAGAGCCCGGCGCCCTCACCTGCCTGCTGAGGGGCCCGGGCAAGGCGCCCAGCTTCCCTGAGCCTCGGCTTCCACATCTGAGGCGATCGTACCCGCTTTGCGGGCAAGCTGTGACACCCGTGCACCAAACCGGCCCGCGTGCATGCGTGCCTGGCACACACACGTTTGGCACTTTTGCTTTTGCATCTGCGCATTTGCCTGGAGGGGGAGCGCGGGGCTGGCTTGTGGGGAGGTCACAGACCCGCGCCCTCTGCTTCAGGGCGCTGCCTGGCGCTTGCCGCGAGCCTCCCAGGGCTTCCCTGAGGACCGCAGCACAAGATTCAGGGGTACCCGTTGCCTTGATGTCGTCCCTTCAACTGAAACCCACAGGGAGGGAGGCATTTGGGCTGATGGTTCCTCCTACCCCAACTCAGAAATCATCTGCAGCTTGGAGATTCCAGTCTATGCCAGCGGGGGAGGGCAGCCAGCTGCTGGCAGATGAGGAGGGGGCTGGGAGCCTGGGGGATGCGCTCTGGTGGGCAGCCGGTCCTTCTGGACCAGCTCAGGGGAGGACGCCTCGGGGGCAAGGCAGAGCTTGCGAGGTGAGGGACCTGATTCCCAGGCAGGCCCTGCGCTGCGCGGCGATCGGCTGTGGGAAGAGTGAGCAGAAGAGCTGTCCTGTGGCTTTGGCAGGAAGGTCAAGGGCGCGGGGCTGAAAATTCAGATGCCCGCAGGCCCCAGTGCGTCTATAACGGTGAGCAGAGGGGAGGCAGTAGGGAGTGGTGAGGTGCGTGGAGAATTCAGGAGCACAGGCGGCGGAGTGCGTATTTCCCACCTGGCTGACGGAATGTATGGCTCAATTTCCAGGTAGCAACATTTAACTAACTAGATCATAAAACCCAGCAGACACCGCTATTATTTGAATAGATGAAAGCCAAGCCAACCAAACCAAAACTCTAATGAAACTCAACTTTTGTCTTAATGGAAAAAGCAATGCACAGGCACAGCACAAAGCGTTACCGACATAGTCGGCCGTGTTAGGACACGTTGCTATGTCCAAAGTCCTCACCGGAAGCCCTCACTTCCAAATGGATCTTTGTTTATCTAAGCAGAGGTATTTTTGCACTCGCGTGCTGAGAGGCCCCCTCACGTCTTTACTGCAAAATGCAGTAAAGCAAAGTAAAAAAGTAAAGCAAAGCAAAGTGCTATGCCAGGGATGAACCTTGAGGACACTGTGCAGAGTGAAACGACACACACTGTGTGATCCCGCCTCCACGAGGTCCCCAGAGCCATCAGATCACTGCAGACAGAAACTAGGAAGGGTGGGGGGTGCCTGGGTGGCTCAGTCGGTTGAGCATCTGACTCCGGCTCAGGTCATGATCTCACGGTTCGTGGGTTCGAGCCCCGCGTCGGGCTCTGTGCTGACGGCTCAGAGCCTAGAGCCTGCTTGGGATTCTGTGTCTCCCTCTCTCTCTGCCCCTCCCCTGCTCACACTCTGTCTCTCTGTGTCTCAAAAGTAAATATAAACATTTAAAAAATTAAAAATAAAAAAAAAGAAAGAAACTAGGGAGGTGGGTGCCGGCGGCTGCGGGAGGGTGTGGGGAGTTAGTGTTTCACGGGGACAGAATTTCAGTTTCACAAGATGAACACGTCCTGGGGATGCATGGTGGTGACAGTCGCCCACCAGAGCGAGTGTACTTACGGCGCCACCGATCCGTATATTTAAAAATGCTCAAAAAGTAAATTTTGTTATGGATCCTTTACCATAGTATTTTAAAAGTTAGAAAAAAGAAGAGAGGGGTGCCTGGGTGGTTCAGTCGGTCGAGCGTCCGACTCTTGATTTCGGCTCAGGTCGTGATCCCAGGGTTGTGACATAGAGGCCCACGTTGGGCTCTGTGCTGAGTGTGGAGCCTGCCTAAGATGCTCTCTCTCTCTCTCTCTGTCTCTGCCCTTCTCACCTTCTGGCATTCTCTCTCTCTCTCAAAAGTATATCTGCTCACGCACAAATCTCCTTGCTCCTTAGTCAGGTTTCCTGGGGGACCCTGAGGCTATTTCTTTTTTTTTAATATTTTTATTTATTTCTAGGAGAGAGAGAGAGAGAGAGAGAGACAGCGTGAGCAGGGGAGGGTCAGAGAGAGAGGGAGTCACAGACTGAAACAGGTTCCGGGCTCTGAGCTGGCAGTCAGCACAGAGCCCGACACGGGGCTCGAACCCACAAACCGCGAGATCATGACCTGAGCGAAAGTCGGACGCTCAACCGACTAAGCCACCCAGGCGCCCCCCCGAGGCTATTTCTCATCTGATGCAATTTCCAAGCTTGTGCAATCCTTCTCTGTCCCCGGCTTGGGCTGGACCATTTCCCACACCTGGAATTTGTCAGTCTGACGGGCGATAGATGCCTCTGGGTTTTAATTTGCACTTCTTACTCACGGAAGAGATTGTGTGCCTTTTCAGATGCGAATTATCCACTGGCTCCTCTCTGTTAGTATCCTTTGCCCGGGTTTTTAAATTGGGACGCGGTAGTTTGTAACTGATCTTGAGAACTTCTGTTAGAGGACCCCGGCCCGTCCGTTTGTCAGAGCTGCTGGGAATATGTTTGCTCCCGCTGATAGGACCCTTACCTTTGGACTGTCTGTCCCCCATGCATTTGCCTTACAGGACATTTTAATGTTTACTTAGTGGAATGTTTTATTGTGTGTCTTGCTTAGAAAGGCATTCTGCATCCGAAGGTTAAGTACATTTAAAAAGTTCCTGTTTTCTTCTAGCACTTTAACAGGATAATTTTTTTTTTTTTTAATTAAAAAGCTTTAAAGATGTAAGCTTACTTTTAGAAAAATTCGCCAGGAGAAACAGGGAGAGCTGGGTGCTGAATGTCCGCATAAAAAGTGATAAAATGCCCCTGCCCCGCCCCCAGCGGTGAGAGGACGGGGTGCGGCTGGGCCTGCCTCCTGCAGTGGGGGGGGTCGGGGGCCCAGAGCTCAGGCAGCGTGCTGGGTTCCGGTGTCTGAAGAGACCCCTGTGGATGGAGGCCTGGGGACCAGGGGACTAGAGGACGGAAATGTGGGTGTCACTGGCGACTAGATGGAAACTGAGGCTGTGGAGGGGGTGAGAGGGAGGGCGGCCCAGGACACAGCCGCAGGGGCCCGATGGTGGAGGCGGAGTCTGGCAGGGAGGCGACCAGCGAGGACCGGAGCCCAGGGAGGAGGCCTGGAGGAGGAGCGAGGGGGGAAGGTGCCCTCGGAGAGGCCTCAGCCATGCCCCCCCAGAGCGAGATGGGAGGGGTGGAGGGACCGGGCAGAAGCCAGGATCCCGCAGGGTTAGGGAGGGGGTGCAAGTGACATGGTGGGTTTGGCCAGCTCTCAAGAGGTCGCTGTGAAGGGGGGGCATACAGTGGTCGGAAAGGGGCCATGCAGCGGGTACCAGGTGCCCCCCAGGACACAGAAGGGCCACACAAGTGGACTGAGTTGAGGGGTCGAGGAAGAGGGGTAAGTCAGTGCTTTTAACAGTAGGAGCCTTGCCCACCCCTGGGGGTGAGAGGGCAAAGGAGAGACACGTTCTGGAACATACCAAAGAGGTGGCTGTACGGAGCCTTGACCACACCTAGCAGCCCGGCAGACCGTTGTAAAACACAACTTACAAAAACCGATCACGTGTTCACATCCTCTGTGGCGGCCACCACCGAGCGTGGCCCCCAGCGTCCCTGGGCTCCTGGTACTCGCGCCCTTCCGGCCCGCGCCCCCCCCCCCCCCGGCCGTGGAAGTGACAGTGTGTGGCTTCTGGAGCAAGCTCAGAGAGGACACTGTGGCCCTGCCTTGCCACATCTGGGATCACCTGCTCTGGAAGCGTCAGCCCCAGCCAGCCGCCCTGTGACTGAGCCTGCCGGAGCCCATCCCCCAGCCCCAGCCAAGCCTTCAGTGACTGCAGAGAAGACCCCTGGCCCAGAGCCCCCTAGCCCAGCCCCTCATGAGCTCCTGACCCACGGAAACTGAGCTAACCCGTGCTTACTCTTGTTTTAAGCCACGAAGTTTTGGAGTAATTTGTGACGCAGCAGCAGAGAACCAGCACCCTCTTTAGAGGCATCTCAGGGCCTATAGGACGGGGACCCGAACCCACGTGAGCTGGGAGACCCCGCGTCATCCAGCCAGCGAACTCTGCAGCTTCTTGCCTTGCCCTGGCCACTCGGGGACTCTCATGGACCCTCCAACAGGCAACGCCACTGTCCCCTTTGCTTTTTTCACACCACCTGCGTGCGAGCCCCTCAGCCAACACGCCCCCATCTGCTGTTTACTAGGAAGGCGTCCTGACCCCTCGCCAGGACAGGGGGCCCCGCCTCATGCTCTCCCGGAGGCGGCCCTCCCCTCTCTGGGACGCATCACTCTGCGGTCGTGTAGGGGTCGCCTTCCTTCAGGAGCCCGGACGCTCCTTGAGGACACGTGTGTTAGCCGCGTCTTGTTTCTACGTCTGATGCTCTAATGTCTGGATCTTACCCACCCGCAGGGATGGTCTCTGCCTCCGCCCTGGGGTTGGCCAGTCCCTAGACGGTGAAGAGGAGTTGCCGAAGAGTGGGCGCCAACCTGCCCAGAGCCCACACCCCCGCCTCCCACCTCTGCTCGCGGGCTCTCATGCCCAGGGCCCCTTGCCCTGCTCCGATCGCCCGAGGAGGTCCCAGCACCTCAGGACAGCCCGAGGCCACAGTCCTGGTCACACCAGTCAACCCCCAGCCCGCATACCCTGCCTCGCCCGTCCCTTCCCACGGAGACCCCAGCAGGCTCCTGCCCCCTCTGCTCCTGACCCAGCCCCGCTGTCCTGTTTCTAGGGACCAGTGAGGAGCACAAACCACCTTCCCAATGGCAGCCACCCGCTCATCTCTTGGGCTCGCCAGACCTGAGTAGTAATGAAACCTACCTTTTGTTTATTATTTTTTATTTGTGTGTCGATTTTAA